GGAAGAATATTTTTATATTGTGAATTATATGAAGAATTAGCCAATCATTTTCATTGAACAGTACACATTGACAATCCTTTGAAAGTTGCGGCGTAGTAAAAAAATAATTTATAAAAAAGGGCTTTAAAAAACTGGTGTTACATAACTTGAACAATAGGCGATGACGGTGGTTTTGTCATTATGCACTTTAGCCAAACTTTTTTAGGTTCTAAACAAAACAATCATTACCTTTAAAGATTTTTTTTTTTAATTTCTTTCGCTCAAATCTGGAATTGTTTGTCTATTCTGAGTCCCAAAGTCAGCCACCAAACCTTCAATTTTTTTTTATACAATCAAATAAAAATGGAAATGAAGGCGGGATTTCTGCTAAATGATCAAGGGGTAAAAGTCAAGGAATGGAAACTTTGATATAGTTGTCCAGTATATTTGATCGATCCAATAAAAAGCCAAATATGTTGTAACTAATTAATTGATTAAACCCTAATTGGACCTATTGTGATCTCTGGCCAGTGGGTAAAAATGGATAAAAAATCTTTACTTTCCTGTTTATTAATTAATACACGATAAGAAAAGACATTCTGATCTATCTACGAGAGAAAATTTTTTGATAATTTTTCACTTCATAAAATTAATATTTGGTAGTTTCTTAGCTCAATTATTCTTTGACGATTTTGGATAATTTATGAATACGGTATAATAATTGAAATACCTAAATATTTATATACTTTGAATGCAAATTAAATTGAATTGTTACCATAGATCGACGAAATATTTTATTGTGCATTTAACGATGCTTAACAGCCTGACTTCTGCTTACCCCTCACGTAGTGTAGCCGCGGATGATGCTGTACTTCAAATGTTCATGTCTACAGTAAAATGATCAAGTAGCGTAAACCAAGAAACTCGTTCAACGTTGCAAAAATATTGGGTTTACATAAAGAAAATTTGGGGTTCATGTTTATCTTATCACTACAATATATTTTGTCAGTTGGATTTTGTGACAGTATAATTGATTTTCGATGCGTTTGATTATCCAATATATTCCAATTTGTGAAGGTGGTTGTTAAATTAAAAATGTTGTAATATGAAAAATTTTCCTAAATTTTATAATTGTAACATTCCCCCAAAATTTGATTGAAGGATAAAAAAACTTTTGTTTGATTGGTGCTTAACGATTTCTGCAATAATCCACCATCTGCAACTCCATATCTAGTTGAGTGAGTTGTTTTTAGTGCTGTTTTCGTGCTGTTGTACTTCGTTGTCGACTACGCGTACAGTAGTACTACAAAGAAATTTTTAAAGGCAAACTTTTTTCGTTGACTTGTTTTTTCCGCTTTTCTTCCTTTGATTCATTTTCAAAGAGATTTAAAAAAAAAAAAAATTTGATTTTTGACCCCCCTATTAAAAATCTAAACGTTGTAATAAAACCTTTTTTTTTTTTTTCATTGGTGCTCCTCACTACTTTACAGTTTTAAAACCGTTTCCCCCCATAAAAAACTTTTCATATGACCATGAGAGAAATTGTTCACTTACAAACCGGCCAATGTGGTAACCAAATAGGTGCCAAATTTTGGGAAGTAATTTCAGATGAGCACGGTATTGACTACTCTGGTACTTATACTGGTGATTCTGACCTTCAGTTAGAAAGAATCTCAGTATATTATAACGAAGCCGCTGGTGGTAAATATGTTCCACGCGCTGTTCTCGTTGACCTTGAACCTGGTACCATGGACTCTGTTCGCGCTGGTCCTTTCGGACAACTTTTCCGTCCGGACAACTTTGTCTTTGGTCAAAGTGGTGCCGGTAACAACTGGGCTAAAGGTCATTACACTGAAGGTGCTGAGCTCGTAGACTCTGTATTAGACGTTGTCCGCAAAGAAGCAGAATCTTGCGACTGCTTACAAGGTTTCCAAATCACCCACTCCCTTGGTGGTGGTACTGGTGCTGGTATGGGTACTTTACTCATCTCAAAAATTCGTGAAGAATACCCAGACCGCATGATGTGCACGTTTTCGGTAGTTCCCTCACCAAAGGTACTTTTTCATATTTATCGCGTTAAAGCGTATACATTTATTTATTATTCTTTTTGACTCTTTGTGACGCGTTAAAAAGATATTATTTTTCATATATTAATTAAATCTCTTTATTTTCTTTTACTAACATAGGTATCTGACACTGTCGTCGAACCATATAACGCGACCTTATCAGTGCATCAGTTGGTCGAAAATTCTGATGAAACTTTCTGTATCGATAATGAAGCTTTATATGATATTTGCTTCCGTACATTGAAATTGAGTACGCCAACTTATGGTGATCTCAACCATTTGGTATCTGCTGTAATGAGTGGTATTACCACATGTTTACGATTCCCTGGTCAATTGAATGCTGATTTGAGAAAATTAGCTGTCAATATGGGTAAGTTTATTTTTACGATTAAATTCATTTTATTTTATTTTATTTTATTTTTTTTTCAAAAAAAAAAATTATATATAATTAATTATTCCTTGTATTACAGTTCCTTTCCCTCGTCTTCATTTCTTTATGGTCGGATTTGCCCCATTGACTTCTCGTGGATCTCAAGGTTATCGTGCCTTGACTGTCCCAGAATTGACTCAACAAATGTTTGATGCCAAAAACATGATGGCAGCCTCAGATCCTCGTCACGGTCGTTATTTGACCGTTGCCGCTATGTTCAGAGGTCGCTGTTCAATGAAGGAAGTTGACGATCAAATGTTATCCGTTCAAACAAAGAACAGTTCATACTTTGTTGAATGGATCCCCAATAATGTTAAAAGTAAGCGATATTTTTTTTTTTATTTTAAAATTTTCTTTTCTAATATACCTTTCTGACTTTGTTGCTTATTTATTTATTATTACTTTAAATTATAGCCGCTGTTTGTGACATTCCACCAAAAGGTCTCAAGATGTCAGTTACTTTCATCGGTAACTCAACATCGATTCAAGAGCTCTTCAAACGTATCAGTGATCAATTCACTGCTATGTTTAGGCGTAAGGCTTTCTTGCATTGGTATACCGGCGAGGGTATGGACGAAATGGAATTCACTGAAGCAGAATCTAATATGAACGATTTGGTTTCCGAGTAAGTCATTCTTATATCTTTTGTTAATTAAGTTTGTAAATTTTAAGTTTTTCAATCATCAATTTTAACATTATGCTTTCTTGTAATCTTCTAGATATCAACAATATCAAGAAGCTACTGTTGAAGAGGAGGAAGCAGAATATGAAGAAGAATTAGAACAAGATGCCGACATCTAAAAATAATAATAATAAATCGCATTTTATAAACCACATTCATCAAACATCATTTTTTTTTTTTTCCTTCAATTTATAATGAATTCTTTTATTTTCCTTTATAAACACGTTTTCTGTTTTTACTAAAAAAAAATTAAAATCCATAGCTTTTTTTAATCCAAATAAAAAGGAAGTGTCATTTCAATGTGTTGTTTATAATTAATATTAAGTGATAGTATTAAGTTATATATAAATTTAAATAGATTTTATTTTTATTTAACAATAATCAGTTTTTACAAAAAGTAACAATTTTAAATAATAAAGTTGTACAAATTATTCTTTATCTGTTTTTTTTTTTTTCAAGAAACTCTACCTTAAACAAACAAAAAAAAAAAAAAAAAAAAAAATTAAAACGTAAATAAAAACTTCGATTCTACAATAAAATCAATTTTTATTTTTAGAATAAAATCGAATTAGCCAATTAGATAATAAAATTTCGATTATTTAGATATGATTGTCAAATGATTGCACTAAAACTTCTTGCATAAACTTCTCGAGAACCGCCAAATTTCTAGTAATGAGACTCGTTTGGATTTGGGCTTTTTACATAAATCACATCATGGGCGAAATTTGTCAAGTTTTTTTTTTTTTTTTGTTTTTAAGAGATCAAGTTGTTTATAAAATATTCTTGGAAAGTTGATTCTTCACGGGTTAGAAAGGTTAGAATGAGAACATGCAACTTTGAAACTAAAGTTTGATTGGTAAAAGAGTGATCATAATAATTATTAAATTGGAAAATCATTATAATTTTGGAATTCTTTTTATCGCGTGTAAAAAATATATTTAAAAGAAGGATCATCTTTTTTTTTTTTTCCTCGGTTTTTTTTTTTTGTCTTTAATTTGTTATTTTGTTATTTTGTTATTTTATATTTATCAATTTTAATAATGAAATTAAATAATTTTATTATCGTATTTCCTGATTTCTTTACTATTATTACTACAGTTATAATTTCTCAAGGTAATAAAGAAAAAAAAAGTTCGCGTTGAAATTGAAAATAATCTAAAATCAAGCATATAAATCTTTTTTTTAAAGTTATTACCACGTGTTATTATGCTTATAATGTATTTGGTAGACTTCAAATGCAACTTCGTCGTACTTTATTAACACCAGCGGAAAGAGAGTCGTTAGCATATGATATACCACAAGCTGGACCCATGGTAACATTGTTATCTTATTTATATTTATCATTCTCGCTATTCTACGATAAAATGATTCAATTTCTTAAAAAATTATTTTTTAAAAGGCAAGTATCGTTGCTACCATTATCTTGACTTTAATTGTTCATGAATTACAATACTTTTATGAAATTGAAAATTATTCGACCGCAATTACTATGAATTTATTCTTATGGCTTGGTAAGTGAATTATCATTTAAAATCATTCAATTTAATCCTTTATGTAAAACATCTTTTTTTATTTTTTTATTTTTCATCCTTTATACTTTAATAGCCGCAAGTGCTTTGTCATTTACGCGATACATCTCTTATAACTTGACCGCGTCATTATTTTTTATTGACACGATACACGATTGTCTCCAATTGATAGGAATAGCTATTACGATACAATATTTTCATTAATAATGATTCTTTAATGGTTTTTTTTTAAAGTATAATGAGAATGATCATGGGATAAATACATTTAATCAAATAAAAAATTCTCGATTTTTTTTCCTTTTTTTCTGATTTCTCTAATCTTTTCTCAAGTCAACTCTTTCAACTGTAACACCACCTTGTTTGATGACAAAAATTTCAAGATAATCTCCAGTGTACATGTCCCTCTCTGACGCTGAAGTGAACGCATCTTTTGCAATACTAATAGCTGTATCCAAGGGCATGTCAGTTCGTTGAACACCTTGCTGATTTTTGTGTCCAACCTATTAAATTATGACTTAAAACTTTAATACCTTAATAAAATAAACATTAAAATCAAAATATAATAAAATCCTTGCCTGATTGTCTAAAAATGGTAGAATCAACGCTGAGGCAGATCCAACAGACTTATAGGGTTCGGCTCCATAGGATCCCAATGGATCGTAACTATATGACACACCTCTACCTATATATATATAATCAAGACATTTTGGATTTTTAAATATGTTTTCCAAATATTTTATATTTTATATTTTATACTTTACCTTGTTCATCGATCCCTCCTAGCAAGCAGAATGAGTAGTATGGAAAAAATCGTTTATAGTATAAAGTATTCGAAAGCATTTGAGCTATTGCTGGCGTTGACATTACCTTATCGTGAGCGTGTTTATACCACTGGCAAAAAAAAAAAAAAAGATTTCATGAGAATTCAACAATTCAATGAATTGAATCTAATGTCAAATTCATCAACAACATATTTCATCGTACCTCCAAGTTTTGACTAAGTTTCTTGAACAACGCGAGACCATCGGCGGAAAATCCACTTGTGGCCAACACCGCAGTTTCGGTTCTAGCTTGTCAAAAGATCAAAAAAATCGTAAATTGAAATGTATAAAATCACTTTCTTAAAGAAATAAATCAAATTAATTACAATTTAAAAGCTTTGGGTACATAACGCGAATTTATTTTATAACCATCGCTTTGACGGGTATCGGAAGCAATCAAACAGTAGTCAGCACCTTTAATAACTAACGATGAACTATTTAATATTAAAATTTAAGTTTCAAATGCTATATCAGTAACTTTCTTTCAGACATTGAGGCAGACACTTTAGCTTTTTTTTTTTTCTAGTTTTGCATATAAAAACAGTACTGTAAAGATAAACAGTACCCGCCATTCATCTCGTATGGATCAAACTGATGTTGTTGAGCTGCAGAAATGGGAGCATCGTGATTATATAAAGCGACAGGATTCATTGCGAGAAAAGTAGAGCGTTTCTTTTTTTTTTCCTCATTTATTTAAAGTTAGAATTCTGTGCCGATCACTAGTACCGTTATTTGTCACCCCCAAATTTGGACTATGAAACTTCGTAATCGAAGTGCGTCATTCATCTTATCAAATATATAGTTGTATAGTTTTTTTTCAAGGTATCATTTGTTTTTACGTTTTATGGTTTATTATAATGGATTCTATTGTTAATAAATTCAAGAGGTCAACGTCAACATGGGGAGACCACAACATGCTTGTTAATTTTGACGTTACGAAAGAATTTTCTTTACCATCGTTTGACATTCCTCCTTGTCATAATGTACGTGCTTCTAGTAAAAAAAAAAAAAAAAAAAAAAAAAAAAATATTTATCAAATTCCTCTCCAAAAGGTTTAATTAATTAAAACTTATTATTAAACCTTTATTAGCCTATTGAGTTTTTGAAACATAATACAGACGAAAAATCAAACGCTGAATGTCGAATTAAGTTTAAGCATGGTACTACAACTCTTGCGTTTAAATTCCAAGGAGGTATTATAGTCTCTGTTGATTCGCGTGCAACTACTGGGTCTGTCATTGGTGAGTTAAATGTAATTCTTTTATTTTCAAAAGCAATGTGGTAATTTATCTTTAAAATAATTTAGCTACACAGAACATTAGAAAGATTATCGAAATAAACCCATATCTTTTGGGAACAATGGCCGGTGGTGCCGCCGATTGCACATTCTGGGAGAGAGAACTAGGTAGACGTTGCAGGTAAGATGAATTTAATTTCAAGATTTTAAATATGATACAACTAAATGTTAAATTTTTTCTTTTCTTTAGATTATACGAATTGAGAAACAAGGAACGAATTTCCGTATCAGCAGCTTCCAAGTTATTAGGAAATATTGTTTATTCATTTAAGGGAATGGGACTTTCAATGGTATGTAAAAAGGTGTCAAAAGTAACTTTTTGAAATTTGTTGATTAACGAAAGAATTAATATATCCAGGGAACTATGGTTGTCGGTTGGGACAAAATTGTGAGTATAATATTTTACACTTCATCTTATGATTGATATATGATAGATATTAAATAGTTGTATTTGATAGGGACCAAATATTTACTACGTGGATGCGGATGGAACTCGCTTGAAAGGAGATTTATTCTCAGTTGGATCCGGGTCTCCATTTGCTTATGGAGTGTTAGATAGTGCATATGATTTTGATCTGTCTGCACATGATGCTGCTGAACTTGGACGTCGAGCGGTGTATCATGCTGCCCATAGAGATTCTGCTTCCGGTGGTAACATTCATGGTATGTTATAATTTTTCTTTATGCCCTTCAATCCTCATCATTTGAAAGAGTAACTTTAAATAATTTCTCTTTTTTAAAATATTTTTTTTTGGCATTAAAATTTAGTATACCATGTAAAACAATCTGGATGGGAAAATTTAGGATTTCGAGACTTTGATGATTTGCATTGGGAATATCAAGATCAACCAAAACCAAGTATAATTGGAGACGTACAGCCAATGATGCTGAATATTCAAGATTAAAAATTTATTTACGTCAAATAGATTTTTTAAAATTCTTTAATTGTAAAAAAAAAAAAAAATTAACAAAATAAAATAAATTTTATCTAAATGTTACACAACATTAAATATAAGTTATTTCCTTATATGGCTTTAGTTTTTTTTTTTTTTACTTTCCCTGTAATTACTTTCCCTTTTAAATAAAAAAAAAAAAATGTCTTCAAACGTTTTATATACAACGCATAATATTCGTTATTTACGAATTTCAGAAAAACAAGTGTTACCTCTAATAATTTATCTTCGTCAAGAAAATCTTTTATGGTTTAATGACATTATATTTCAGGTAGATGTTTTCGAATAAGCGTTAAACGCGTCGATTAAAAATATTAATTCATTATAAATTTATAGGAAATACTTTCAGCTTTACAAAGAATAATTCCAAAGAAATTTTCGCGAAAAAAAAAAAATGTTAGTAATAAATCACTTTCAGATATTTACCGCGGATGTAGGTATATCAATATTTGATAAAGATTTACTTTATTTTATAATTTTTATAATATAATTTTCTTATCGTCCTATTTAAATTCACAGCAAATTTCCAATTCGCTTATTATATTAAACCTACTGAAGTTAAACATTCTATATTAATAAAGGTCTGATTGCGCATTTTTCCTTTTACATTACCTTTTAATGATATTAATATAATACCTCTTTTAATAGGATAAAACTTCGATTTTTCCTTCAGATAAAATGAAACTTTCTGTATCAAAATCGCAAATGGAACAAGAAAATATTAATGATTCGAGAGCAGATCCATCACCAATAAATACTAAAGATGATGATGATGATGATGATGAAAAACCAAAGTTAAATCTTACATATCAAGGATATAATATTTTTAGAAAATCTTTAGTGCTAATAGTTGAACCACTTGACAAAATCATTGAATTCGGTGATAATGTTCAAATTGCTACAGCAATGACGATTGATGATTATTTTGGTAGAGATGACGAAAGTGAATTATAATTTTTATTATGATTAAATAATTATTATGAAATTACCATGATAAATCTTCTATATATTATATATATAAAAAAAAAATGGTCCTTCTTAAACGGAGAGATTCCTCAATTCTCAAATTTACTTTTTTAGTCATGATCCTCTTCCTCATAACCAGGGCATTCCTGATCCATTTCTTCAGCACTCCCGTATTCACACCCACACCAGAAACAATATTGATACTTTTCTCGCAAGTACCTCAAAACACAATCTAGTTGCTCTCGAGGCTGTAAAAAAAAAAAAAAAAATTTAATTGATTGGAATAATGAAAAATAATAATGATACAAAAATTCGATTCATATGTTCATACTTCAAGACCTTCAAAGCCTTTGGCTTTTCTCTCTTCAATTTGGTCTTCTTTATCTTCTACAACTTGCTCTTCAAATAATATTTTGTCCTCGTCGTTATTGTTCTCTAACTCATCGTCTATTGTCTCCTCATGTCGCCAATAAATATTATCCTTATTTTAAAAATAAAAAGAAATAATTAAAGTAATAAATTTGTTGTTAATGTAAACATTGAATTGAATTCCTGTTCTCACCTCGATTCCCTGTTGTAAATAAGAAATATTTAATACATGTGGAAGGTTAAATCATTGGCAAAATTTATTGCATATAAATTTTAAAAGGTTACATGTTTCGTGTCCAATGTCTCGCATATGGTTTGTAATTTCCTAAGCTGTCCTTTCACGCGTTTGTCAAGTTTTTCTTGACGGACACGTTCACGAAACGAATCCTCTTCAACTCTCGTTCGTTTTGCAACTTTGGCGAGTTCAGCCTGGGCTTTATGCTTTATTTCAGTAGCCATACCTAAACCAAGCTTGTCTAAACGAAATCATTATAAATTGTTTTTAATTGAGCTACAAAAACTAATATTGCTAAACTAGTGTAATAAAATACCTTGTTTCAGTTCAATATTCAATGGTTCCGTCCTTCCAATATTGCTAGGATCTTTTCCCAAACCCTTGCCTTGCTCGTAACCCATCTTTTTAAGTATTTTCAAACCTGGCGATTCATTCTCTTCGGTATCAATCCGTTTAGCGAGAGCTTGGTCACGATGTTCCTTTTCAAGTTCAAAACGAGGTTTATTATAACCTTTATTTGATAATTTTTTCTGACGACGTCGTTCAGAGTAGGTTAGAGATGGTGAAGGTTCAGGTGGAGGTTCGGTTAGGAACTTTGATGACATATAGTCGTCCGAATCAGACATTTTTAGGTAATGGTAATAATGAAAAAACGCGACTAAAAACAAACATCCAAATTATTGAACATTATCACGTGATAATCAAATGTCAAACTTGAACATATTAATCATTTTTGTACTACCAAAGTTTAATACTGATATAAGGAAATTTGTTGTCTTTTTTTAACTTATCAACTTAATAAAATTTTTCTACAAAATGCCTGATGAAAAGAAGCTACCCTGGGGAATTAATTCAACAAAACCGGGTTCCGCTAAGGTATAATATATCCGATGAAAAAATACAACCTCAGTTTTAACGACATTTGTTTTGCACAGTTTCTGATCTTCCTCCTCGGATGTTTTAGACCTTAACAAAAACAAAATTACAAGCTTTCAGTATTGGTACACATAAAAAGACACCTTTTCAAAAACACAAGGAAGAACTTGAATTAAAGAAAAAGGTAGTGTCTATCTACAAAAAAAGTTATTATGAAAGGAATTTTTCCGAAACTTAACTTTGAAATTTATCTCGAATTTTTAGCAAGAATCTGAAGAAGCCGCAAAAGTCTATGCTGAATTTGTTGCATCGTTTGAAAAAGAGGAAGGTGCAGGAAAGACATTCGTTAAAGGCGAAACTATAGTACCGAAACGTTAGCATTTCATGATTTTATCTACCTTAATTACTATTGATTTAAAAAAAAAGTTTAATAATTTATTTCTTCATTTAAAGTGTTGTTTGATCATGATGCAGTCATTACAAAAAAGGAAGTTACCACCACTTCCACTTCAGCACCTAAACTTTACAAACCACAACCTTTTATTACTGCCTCAAAACCTATACAACCGGAAATAAAAATTGAGAATTCCGAGGAAAATCCCGAAAAGGAAGAGGTAAAGATATCTCGATCGTATTTGAAAGATCAGCTGAAATATATTAACAGTATTCATTCATCAAGGATGAAGAAAAAAAGGAAGAAAAATCAAAAAGAAAACGTAATCTAGACGCTTTTTTGGAAGAAATAAAACGGTTAGTAAAAAAAAAAAAAAATGGTTTATGATTTGAAATTATTAAAGAAATTTGATTTTATTATAGTGAACAAGAGGAAAGAGAAGATCGTTTAAGGCAAAAGCATGCAAAGTTGGCGGGCGCTGGCTTATCATCTGGTAAATTTATTTCTTTTAGCATTTTTACAATTTAATTAACAATACATATTTAATATATGTATAAATAAGGATTTGTATGCTAGATACATAATTTATTGGTTTAATTTAGAGGCAGGTAGTGACGAATTCGCTCCTACCTCGCTCACCGTTAAAGCCGGTGAGTTTAGGCTCACTACAACCTGAATGTGCCATATCGAAATTTAACAATGTTTAATTAATATACTTCTCGGTTCCTTTTAGCATTTGAAGATAGACCGGGTTCACATGATACTGGAGATCCAAATACAACAAATTTATATGTTGGAAATATAAGCCCAGAGGTGAGCACACTTTTTAAGTGGCGGTCAATGATAATACTAGGATCAGAGGGATAATTTAATTTTTAATAATTCTTGAAAAGGTGAATGAAGAAATGTTATGTAAAGAATTTGCAAAATATGGTCCCATAGCTAGTGTAAAAATTATGTGGCCCCGTACCCAAGAAGAGAAAGATAGAAATCGAAACTGCGGTTTTGTTAGTTTTATGGACAGAGAATGTGCAGCTCAGGCTTTAAAAAATATGGATGGCAAAGAATTGCTCGGATATATTATGCGTGTTGGTTGGGGGAAAGCAGTTCCTATCCCACCAAAGCCTATTTACGGTAAGTTCTATAATCTAAAGGAATCCACGTTTACATGACTTCTTTTAGTTACTCAATTATTCAATTAGTATTGAACGAAGGAGTTCGTCCTCCACCGAGTGGCTTACCTTTTAACGCGCAGATGATTCACACAAAAGGTGAATTCATTAAATATTGTAATCACTTAGTATTTTATCATTATCATTAATCCTTATTTCGATTTACATGTAGCATATACAAATGTACCACCGCCTGGCGCCTCTACGGTGGGTTAGATTTGTTTTTTAGTATATTGGTAACATTGAACTCACCTTCATTTACTCACTTCAGGTTGCACCCAAGGGTCCTCGCCTTGAGGTTCATGTAACTCGTCCCGAAGATACTCAAATCGTTAAGATAATACATCGTATGGTAGAACGAGTTGTTAAGTTTGGTCCACCATTTGAGGTATTATAAAATTGTTTACGGATGCTATTATAAAGTTACATACTTATAGTAAATCTTCGATTAATTAATAAACACAGGCAATCATTATGGATCGCGAATGGAATAATCCAAAATTTTCATTTTTATTCCAAAATGACGTGCGTAGAAATTTGATATCAATTTAATTTATATATAATGAAACTTTTTTAACCATGGATATTTTTTTATTTTGTTTTAGTCACTTGAGCACGTATATTATCGGTGGAGATTATACTCTATTCTTCAAGGAGATCCCAAGAATAAGTGGCGCACCGAACCTTTTCATATGTTCGATGAAGGACCCATTTGGGCACCTCCCGAGATACCGTTTGATGAAGACGTTGGTATTATAGTATACCATCAACAGATTTTAAGTTTATTTCTAGCTTGTCTTACCTATTCTTTTTGGGCAACAGGCAGCAGATGAATTATTAGATTCCGATGAAGAAGATGAACGTGAACGAGAACGTATACCTAAAGGAACTTTAGGACCTAAAGCAAGGCACCGCATGGAAGTAATGCTACGAAAATTGACCTTTGAACGAGGTGTCATTGCTAAATCAATGGCCTTTGCAATTGATCATTCTGACGCCGCAGATGAAGTACTGTACCAAATTGAACTAGTCGAGTAATTTAATTTTCATGTCCATTGCTATTGTTTTTGATACATTGAATATTTTATAGATTGTCGAGATTATATGCAAGACTCTCATGATCAAAGGAACGCCTATTCCCACTAAAGTTGCGCGATTATATTTAGTATCAGATATATTACATAATAGTAGCGTTTCCGTACCAAACGCTTGGAAATTCAGAACTGGGTAAGTGAATATAGGACCGACCTCTCTTTTTTTTCTTTATTTAAGACAATCTGACAATGCTTCTAACGCGTGATGCATTCAATTTATTATAGATTTGAGAGTAAATTGCCAGAAGTGTTTGAGCATTTGAACGAGATATATAGATCTATTGCGGCTAGATTGAAAGCAGAGACATTCAGGGTAAGCGACCAAGGGGGATTGAGATTCTTTACTTGGCGTTAATGATTTGTTCAACCTTGTCCAAAAGAAAGGATTCTTTTCACCTTTTATGCACATTTTCGAAACGAATCTCAATTTATGTTATTAATTCGATTTAACGATGTGGCTTTTACTCACCTCTTTCTTCGTGAAACTTTTAATCTTTAAATTTCTTTTAAAAACCACATCATAACAAACAAAAATTTATATAGCGTCAAATTACAACTATTCTCACCGTTTGGGAAAACTGGATCGTTTTCCCACAACCTTATATTGAATCATTAACAAATACATTTATGAAGAATACAAAACAAGGTGACAATCTCACGCATTCTTCAATACCACAATCAGCCACACCATCATCATCATCGTCAGTTGATGGCAACGTGAATAATGTTGATGGTGTGCCAATGAATATGGTTATTGATGGTGATTCATCAAATAAATCAAGTACAGGTGGTATATTAAGTGTAAGAACAAGATGGGACAATGATGAAGATGAGGATAATAATCAAAACAATGATAAGAAAAGTGTTCGAATAATGTCGGAAATAGAAGTGACGAGATTTAATGAGATCAAAGATGGTGGATCTAAAAGAATCAATTTAGGAGATGAAATGGACGACGAAGTGGATGACATTTTTGCTTAATTAATTAATTATATGTAATTTTTTTTTTTTTTTTTTTCTGTTTCTTTTTTATATACATATTGAATTGGCTTTTTGCATAATTGAAAGAAATTTTAACATATAATTTGTACACATAATCGGATAATACATCACAATTTTTGTAGCGTTTACTGTGGCTTTTAATTTGGGAAATCATTAAAAGTTCTTGAAATATAAAGTAAAAAAAATTTCACTGATTTATGTACACCAATTATTATTATATTTACATGATACACCTTTCTTTTAATCTATTTAAATATTTCATAATTTCTTCATTCTTTTCATATTGATTTTCGTAAAAATAATCCAGGATTTTAGTTAAAGCTGACAGGTTTATATCTTCATTTGTTTGCATCGTTTGCATTTGCCTTTTAAAATAATTGTATTAGTTAATAAATATAAAAATTTATAGAAATATATTATGGATTATCCATACCTTGATGAGGAATGATCATTAGACATTATACAAGCATTCAACTATTATGATATATAAAAAAATAAATAAATAAGTAAATAAGACATTTAAAAAGTTCTTTAAGAAAAATAACAATTCATTTACAATTTCTTCCATGAATTCTAATGATTTGGTTTTAGACCATAAGCCTAACGTTATATCTACTAGCACAAGGTTACTTTTTAATATATGTCGATAACGCTTAAGACATTTGAGTACTTTTTCTTTTCCGTTTTGATTTAATTTCAAACATTCTAAATGAAAATTAAGTATTGATTTTGGTTAATTCATTCATCTTGACGTATAAATGTGTTAAAATTTATAATACACATTTTTTACCTCTTATAGATGTAATCAAATCACCGATGGCATTACTAAAAATCATAATATTGTTGTCTTCGCGTGGATAAATTAACCAGGCCAGATAATTGATGGGTTCTTGTAACTTTGAATATATGAATATATTAATAATATATTACAAATAATAAATTACCTATATAAATACATACATCATGAATCTGTGGAAACCTTTGTATGTCGAAAAATGCTTCAATGATCCAATAATGCCATTTTGTGAATGACATTAAAATTATCCAGACGCATTTTCTGTAATTATGAATGGCTGAAGGACTTTGTTCCAAAAGCAAATTACGTCGAAGAGAATTCATTTTATAAAATGCATGAGTTCCAGGAGTATCATTTGCAAGGACCGTAACAAGTCTTTCTAATAATTTGGGAAAATACTTCCAAGTTAATAAAATAATTTAGTATTTTAATTTGTATGTGTACCTTAGATTAATCATAAAAGATTACCTATATTTAATTTTTATAATGATACATACAGAAGTAATATCTAATGGAATAAATCCGTTGCGATCCTTGCTTTCAATAACATGAGTTATGGTGTATTTTATTAGACGTAATACACGCCAATCGGGAGAGACTTCCAAACATTTAATAAACACATCAAAACACAAGCCAAATATCTTCGGATAGTTTATAACTTGATAGAAAAACGGTTTATTTTGGAGAAATTCCGTGATACTACGAGGAGTCATATAATCCTTATTTACTGGAAAAAGTAGCTGTTGAAAAGACGCCAAAGTCTATTCAAATAATAAAATTTAACATGTCGTTCATAAAAGTTAATAGAATTAAAGAACTCAATAAGTACCTCATGTTCCACTGCGGCATGACAATTGGTCCATAACCTATAAATGACATTAGTTAAGAATTTATAAAGATTTATAAAAATATTAATTTTTTTTTGCAATTCATTAAAAAAGTTAAAAAGATCTCTACCCAAGCTTGGCTTGATTACAAAGTTTCATGTATATATCATGATGAAAAGATACTAAATACTCCACAAAACGCTCCGATAATATAGTCTCGTATTCAGTATTTATTGTATGATACAACTTGTCTTTAGTCGCGAACAAAATTATGCGTTCGATTAATCCAAACATGTCAGGAACTTGCAATAATGGAATTAGCTGCTCGGAAACATTTATTATGCATGTCGACTAAATAAAAAAAAATGTAAATTTATAAAGGTGACGACTAAAGGAATCAAATTCATGTGAAAATTCATACCGGGAGTTGAAACAAACAATTTTCAATGTTATCTAAAAAATTTGTGATGATTGAAACGGCTTCTTCGATGTACGAATTATCTAAATCAGAAGATCCTGCACCACATAAATACGCTAATTTTTCTGTGGCGTTATCACCTTGCGAATGACCGATGGAAATGGTTCGCAATACTTTCAAACACCAATACTTTGGCAGACTTAAATAATAGTAAAAAGTTAATTCAATTCACAAAATAATTTTATTATTATTACATTATCTTACCCTATAAAATGTGTAAACACATTATCCATTTTATCGAACAATTTAGTATATTCTAAAAGGCATTCTATAATTTTTTGACATAAAGTATCATGTAACGTCAAAATCCTAATGCACTAAGATAATGTTTCTTTTTGTCAATAACTGATTGGAAAGTTATAATAAAATAGAATAATTGAGTAAAGAATTACGTACTACTAAATCTTCAAGTATATTTTGAACTTCAGGAAATCTAGTAAAGCATTCTTCAGATGTATTACACTCAAGAAGTTGCTAGCGAAAGTATTAAACTGGTTAAAGACGAAATTATTATTACGTGAAAATTTGTAGTCGAGCGCTCAAGTGCTTTATACTTACCTCATGTAGCGCGTCCAATAACTCTGCGAGTCTGTCAAATTTGTTAATAATGTTGACAGTACGCGTTGCGTAACATCCATCAAGATCCTTAGCTTTTAATTCCTTTGTAAATTCTAAGTCAGTTTTCCAAAAACGCAAGAGTTCTTTTAATTCTTCTATAACAAGCCATTCCATTCCAGCATTTTTGAATTCGATCTTTTAATATTAATAGTCCTTTTCAAAGCCGGATCAGTTACACCAAAATATGTGTAAATTATTATAATTTTTGGATATCAAAATTAAAATTTTTTTTTCTGACTCAATTTAGGAAGCTTTATTGATCTAATATTAACAAAAGAGAAAAAAAAAATTTCACATTAAATATTAAAGAAAAAAACTTAATTAAAATAAAATAAAATAAAATAATTAGTTAAAAAAATAAAATAAAATAAAAGTTGCATTAGCATTAGTATTGATGTTGATGGTAATATTGGTAGTGATAATAGATATAGTAATTTTAAATAAAATATTATTTTTACAGATTAAATGGAACCTTTGCAATAGAAAGAAAGGAAATGGAAAAAATCAATTTTACTTTTATATAGCAAATATGATTTTTAGATCAAAATATGTTCAAATTTAACATTAACTCATTTTCTATTTTTTTCAATTATTTTCTCTTCTATTGTAAAGGTTCCAAATGATTTATAAATTTTCATAAATTAGTTTATGTGATTTACATTAAAACTTCTTACTAATTTTTGGTTATTTTTGGTTATTTTTAATTATTCAATATGTTTTATTATCTAAAAGAAGTAAAGAATATATATGTTTATACACTATTAAAATTTTTCGGTTATATAATTATTGTGTTTCTTTATCTGCTTATATGATCTTTAACTAATAAAATCTCTGATTTTGAAAAGTATCAAGATCACTCTAATCTTAATAATGGTTTCCTATTTCCTATTTATCTGAAGCATATCAAATATTAAATAATAATATTCTGTCTTATATATTGATCACCTAACAGAATTCTGTGTTGCTGATATCATGCTATGTGTATTTCACAAATATTAAATACTAAAAAAATCAAACATAATAAAAAATTGAACATAAAAACTCTTCTTCTTTCTTCATTTTACTATAAAAAAATACCTTTAACAAAAAATATCCACTAAAACACTTGCATTTTGCATAATCAGCCTAACTCTTCAGATATTAATAAAGAATAATAACTTTCTAAAAAGAAAATTATGACTATTATATCAAGAAATACTAAAGAAACTGAAGCTAGTTCTTTTAATATACCTCCTGTTACTTCAACTTTTACAGCTGAAATTCATATTGATTTATAAGTTATATTTAAATAATTTTATTATAAAATATAATATTAGTTTAAAATATTAACTAAAAAATAATAAGAAAGTAAAAATTCTGCTCATTGGCAAAGATAAACCCTTTGTTATTTTAACTAAAATTGCAAAAATATCTGATAATAAAATGAATAAAGATCAAGTATTTTACACTTCTAAGAACATACTTAATAATAACAAATCTTTTGCTAATACTATTAATTTTAAAAGAATTTGTGATACTACTACCTTTTATATTTACTGCATTATTGAAACTTTTCTTTCTAATAAATTTAACAAAAAAAAACTAATAAAGCTTATGATATGTTCAATAATATAGAATATCTATCTTTCATTAGTATATTTATCAAATAAAACTCTAATAATAAAATATTAAAGATTATTTATTTAGAATTTAATACGTAAGTAGGGAAATTTTGGGGGTCCTGGGGTCAAAATCGAAAAAAGATATCCAGAAAGATCCCAATCATAGGCCAGAAGCCCTTCTAGCTATATG